TCAAAAACAACAGTATATATATATGTGTTCTTTTTTTCAAAAATCTTTACACTTTTTATAATAATTTAAAATTGACACACGTTTTTTATAATTATTTACATCATATATATTCTTTTCTTAATAATTTTTTAAAAAAGATTATCCGAATCGATAAGAAAGTAATATCGACATGCGAATCCCGTAATATCGCACCGCGTTCTGTATGCAACATTTGATGCGTCTGAGAATTGCTCCAATAACTGAAACGAATGTAATAGAGCGAGAGAGGAAATTTTTAAAAAGAAAAAAAGAATTGTAGGTCACCGATATAAATAAACGGAAACACCCAAACAACGATGCTGTATTTCCGGAAACGCATGGATATTACGAAATAATGCAAAATTCTGTTGCAAGTCTATCTTCGGATTCCATCAAGCGCGATATCGTCCGGTTGTTTATGATCCCCGATTTGATTCTCGTGAGGCAAATAATTGACTTCTGCAGCGAGATTACCAGACATAAGAGAAAAGCTATTACCTGATTCGATTTCCATGAACCGATAAGTTGATATCGATCTACGGCTCGCTATCGGCGCTTCTTGCCTGCATTTCTACGTCGATATCTTTCCGAATTAATGCAATTGAATTCCATCATGGTTCTCTACAGAACTCAAGTTGGCGTTGTAATGATGTACAGGATCTCGTCCTTTCTACGAATTTCTTATTGTTACAATCGACATGATTAGATCAAACATTGATCTTAATTATAGCATTATTTTAACAATAAAAGTTACTATATATATACGTATGTTAAGATTGTATTAATTAAAATAACTTAGTATTTAATATAATAATATAAAAATTAGAAAGAAATTAGAAAGAAATTTTTCTTTTATATTTTACAATTTTACCTTTAAGAGATGTTAATTATCTAAAATAAATCAGGTAGTATAATAGTTATTGTCTTATTTTTAATTTGTTATATAAGTAATTACATTACATTATGTAGTTGATGGAATTCGTTCATTAATTAAATCGTTAATCTTTACTTTATTTAATAATATTAAATTGATTGCGTACTCTCTGTTTGAAGAATTTTCTTATTCGCACAATATATATTATATGTAGTAATATGTAAAACTTTATTAATTTTTTTATAAATTTATCAGTAGCACGAGAGTCAATGATCCTCGGAACATTTTCAGTAGTATAAGTCAATAAAACGCAGAAGCTATTCCAAGCGATATAACTCAATTTCTATCAGTTCCATCAGTAGTCAGGCAGTGTGAAACAAATAGTATAAGTCAATTTCTGGATTGACACAGATTTTAAGAGATTTCTCTGATGTTGCTAGTATAAATTAATGATTTATCTAATTACTAAAACATTTTTATATTTGCATATTATCTATAGTAATATAATTATTAGCTTTTCTATAAATTTGTCAGTAGTACAAGTCAATAATCTTTGGAACATTTTCAGTAGTATAAGTCAATAGAAACCATTCCAAGTGATATAAGTCAATTTCTATTAGTTCCATCAGAGTAGTACAAGACCAGCAATGTGAAACAAAAGTAGTATAAATCAATTTCTGAATTTACACAGATTTTAATTGATATCTCTGATATTACTAATGATAAATTATTGCTCTGTCTAATTATTAATAATATATACCTGTTATAATTTAAATTTAATAAGAACTAGAATGAGATTATAAAACTACAATCAATATCGAAACAACAATTATATTGTGCAATCGAGCACTCTCTCTTTTTTTCTTCCAACATATTGATTTGTTTACTTTGAGTTTACTCTGAATCAGAGGCAAATAAAGTAATAACAGTTGAAATTGATAAATTTTCGTATAAAGTAAGATATTAGAATAGAGAAAATGTGTAAATAAGAATAAGTATAATAAATAGGAGTAAGCTTAATGAATGAAAAATAAATAAAATAAACTGCATTATAGATAACATAAATAAATATAGATTAAAACATTTTTTGATTAAGAAAATTTAATAAAAAAGGGGGAAAGGGATTCAATCTTTGCAGCTAAATTAGACAATTTTGCATTGACCAGTACATAATATTTTTCTAAAACTTATTTATATTGGGAATAATATGATAATACTATTGTAGTTTATAGACATTCCACATTCCTTTGTGATATATTTTATTATAGATTTGATAAGAGACGCATGATGATATAGCTGATTTTCTGGAAGATAGTCTTGTATCATTTTGATCCCTTTATTCCGGCAAAGACACGTGCTCGCAGGATATCCTCGTCGTCAGAGTCTGAGCTTTAAGAATACCGAATACATATTCCGATACAAAAACGAACGTAGCGTATCAAAGAACAGCATGAAAAATGTATTATACGCGAAAGCTTTCGTGTGTCAGCGTCGTTATATCGCGTGAAATGTTAGCATAAAAAAGCTGTTTTTATAGTAATAATAATTTTTCCGGCAAAAATTATCTAATAACTTCCGAAAGAAGGGTTTGTGGGTTTGTGGGTTTGTTTCGTACTTTTAGCGTTCCTTTATTAGAATAAAATTAATATCTTATTTTTAATGAATTAGAAAGCAAACAATTTTTAAAGTCTTTTATTAAAGAAAGAAAACCTTTATAATTAAATATTCAAAGTAAATTTTGTTTTAAGCATTTGTAATTTTGTAATAAAACCAATGAAAATGCTTTCTAATGTTTAAAATGTTAGTTCTGTTAACTCTTTTGGTTTTCAACACATCTGACTTGCTTTATTGTGCCATAATTGAATTTCCTTGTCATTGTAGTTGCTTATTGTATAACTTCGTTGCCATTGTAGCGATATTGTTTCAACTTTGACTTAACGCTCATTAATCTCGCATGACAAGTGAATAATATTTTCCGCCACCGATTATGTCACATCATCCATGCCTCGTCGTTAACAATATTATCTGTATGTTATATCTATATATAATATCTATATCTATATTATATATTATATCTATATCTATATTATATCTATATTAGAAGTAAAAGC